CGAACCCGCGTCCCCTGCATCGGCAGGCGGACTCGCAACCACTGCGCCACCAGGGAAGCCTGCTAGATGATTTTTGATTAAGGTTATTACTAATGAGGGACTTCCCTGGTGGTGCAGTGGTAAAGAATCTGCCTGCCAGTGCAGGGGACACGGGTTTGAGCCCTGGTCCAGGAAGATCCCACATGCTGCAGAGCAACTAAGCCCGTGCGCCACAACTACTGAGCCTGCAAGCCACAATTACTGAAGCCCGTGCACCAGTCTGTGCTCCACAACAAAAGAAGCCACCACAATGAGAAGCCTGCGCACCACAACAAAGAGTAACCCCCGCTCTCCGCAACTAGAGAAAGCCCGCACACAGTAACAAAGACCCAGCACAGCCCCCCAAATAAATAAATAAGTAAATTTATTAAAAAGGTTATTACTAATTTGCTTACTGGCATTTACTACATAAATTGTTAGTTTTTTTCCCAGTGCTTTGCATATATATTTCTGTCCTCTCTGTTAATCCAGCTCCCCTAACACTCCTTCAAAATGAGTCACCTCCTTTTTTTTAAGCACCTTTTTTTTTTTTTTAAAGATCGGCATTTTTATTTATTTTATTTATAAGTTCATTTATTTATTTTTGGGGCTGTGTTGGGTCTTCATTGCTTCGTGTGGGCTTTCTCTACTTACAGCAAGCGGGGGGCTACTCTTCGTTGTGGTGCATGGGCTTCTCATTGTGGTGGCTTCTCTTGTTACAGAGCACGGGCTCTAGGCGCGCGGGCTCAGTAGTTGTGGCTCGTGGGCTCTAGCTGGCAGGCTCAGTAGTTATGGCACACGGGCTTAGTTGCTCCGCGGCATGTGGGATCTTCCTGGACCAGGGCTCAAACCCATGTCCCCTGCATTGGCAGGCAGATTCTTTCTTTAACATCTTTATTGGAGTATAATTGCTTTACAATGGTGTGTTAGTTTCTGCTGTATAACAAAGTGAGTCAGCTATACATATACATATATCCCCATATCCCCTCCCTCTTGTGTCTCCCTCCCACCCTCCCTTGGTCACAGAGCACCAAGCTGATGTCCCTGTGTTATGTGGCTGCTTCCCACTAGCTATCTGTTTTACATGTGGTAGTGTATATATGTCCATGCCACTCTCCCACTTTGTCCCAGCTTACCCTTCCCTCTCCCCGTGTCCTCACGTCCATTCTCTACATCTGCGTCTTTATTCCTGTCCTGCCCCTAGGTTCTTCAGAAGCTTTCTGGGTTTTTTTTTTTAGATTCCATATATAAGTGTTAGCATACAGTATTTGTTTTTCTCTTTCTGACTTCACTCTGTACGACAGACTATAGGTCCATCCACCTCACTACAAATAACTCGATTTCGTTTCTCTTTATGGCTAATATTCCATTGTATGTCTGTGCCACATCTTCTTTATCTATTCATCTGTCGATGGACATTTAGTTTGCTTCCATGTCCTGGCTGTTGTAAATAGAGCTGCAGTGAACATTGTGGTACATGACTATTTTTGGATTATGGTTTTCTCAGGGTATATGCCCAGTAATGGGATTGCTGAGTCATATGTTATTTCTATTTTTAATATTTAAGGAACCTCCATACTGTTCTCCATAGTGGCTGTATCAATTTACATTCCCACCAACAGTGGAAGAGGGCTCCCTTTTCTCCACACCCTCTGCAGCATTTATTGTTTGTAGATTTTTTGATGATGGCCATTCTGACTGGTGTGAGGTGACACCTCATTGTAGTTTTGATTTGCATTTCTCTAATGATTAGTGATGTTGAGCATCCTTTCATGTGTTTGTTGGCAAGCTGTATATCTTCTTTGGAGAAATGTCTATTTAGGTCTTCTGCCCATTTTTGGATTGGGTTGTTTGTGTTTTTGATACAGAGCTGCATGAGCTGCTTGTAAATTTTGGAGATTAATCCTTTGTCTGTTGCTTCATTTGCAAATATTTTCTCCCATTCTGAGGGTTGTCTTTTCATCTTGTTTATGTTTTCCTTTGCTGTGCAAAAGCTTTTAAGTTTCATTAGGTCCCATTTGTTTGTTGTTATTTCCATGTCTCTAGGAGGTGGGTCAAAAAGGATCTTTCATGTCATAGAGTGTTCTGCCTGTGTTTTGGCAGGCGGATTCTTTACCACTTGACCACCAGGGAAGTCCCAAGTCACCTCTTTAAGAAACATTCCATAATTGTCTTCACCTAACTGATGACTTTCTTCCTTATTTGAGAGCTTCCTAGACATAAGACAGCTTCAGTAGAGGATAAAAAGTTTATGAGAAGTTCTACACAAACGACTATGATAAAAAAAAAAAAAAAAAGAATCTAAGAGCCCTGAGGGAAATAAAGCAGAAAGTTCTAGGGTTGTCAGTAATTGGGTGAGTTAGAGCACTTGCCTCCTAAGAATACTGCGGAAGATGATAGGTGGTGCTAATAGTGAAGCCGTTCTGGTTCTTACTTGGAAAAAGCCGGCTATCTTTTCTTCTGTAGGTGGTGTATCTTTATGTGAGTGTAAAAAAATAAATCTGGAAGGAAGGAATAGAGTAAGATCTTACAAATGCTTGACTGAGGACTTCTAATTTCCTTAGAAGACATTAAGGAGCAAGTGCAGGTCTTTGAGCAGGGCAGTGTTTCGCCACTGCATGTAGAGAGGAGGGAAAGGACCGGCCATAAGAGTGTGTGAGTAATGGGAATTCCTGCCAGTTGGATGGAATGGAGATAACCACAAAGCCATGTTGAGACATGGGTGGATGAAGAGTATGTATCTCTGCTTATCCAGTGGATGAGGGGTTCAGTCCTTTATACCAACCAATTGACACCCACGATTCAGGATTTCTTGTATCATGGACTTTGTTTAGATGTGAAAATACCAAGTTTTTCTTTCTCTCCCTTTTTTTTCTACTTTACTTCTGTTATTTATTGAAGGATGGGAGTATAAAGGTCTGGAAGAAGCAGAGGAGGAAAGATTGTTTCAGGTTGGCAAACAGGATGAGAAAGTTGAGTTTATCTAGACTATCTCAGTTTGTTCCACACGAAAAAATTTCGTAACAGAGGTATATTGCTTTAAAAAAAAATGCAGACACTATTTAAAAGTTTGCCAGCTTTCTAAAACCTGTAGTTGGCAATGCTTTACTTTAAATGACTTCCTGCTTTGCTTTCAGTTTTGTTGCTACCCAGGTAAAGAATGCTTAATTCTCAATATATTTTAGCGCCTTTCTCTAATTTGGCAAATTACTCCATTGTGTTTCAGATGATAGCGTGGATCCTTTCTGGCCAGCGTTACACTGTTTCATGGTGATTCTGGATCGCCTTGGATCTAAGGTCTGGGGTCAACTTATTGATCCTATTGAGGCATTTCAAACCATTATCAACAACGTGAGCTACAATAAAGAGATTCAGAATATACGGAACAGCTCTGTGAGGTTCGTTCAGTTCCTGTGTCAGGATTTCAAACAATCTGTATGAGGAAGTCTACTATAATTGACTTAACAGTAGGATTTTTCTCTTCGTTTTATCCTTCATTTCAGTAATTTCTATTTATTCTTAATATTTAAGGACGAGGTTCGAACCGGAGTCATATTTGGATGATATGGTGACTTGCAGCCAGATTGTATACAATTATAACCCTGAAAAGACCAAAAAGGTATAAAACATTTTGAGATTTCAGGTGATATTGTGTTGCCTTTATATTGTATAGACAGTGTTTTGTGTGGTTAGTTGCATTGCTGATTTTATGATATGTGGCTATTCCGAATCAACTGTTGCATAAAACCTTTCTGATTGAACAGTAGCTCATGAGGAAAAATGGGCTGTAATGAGAGCGTGCACACTTTGAGAGATTAATTTTTCAGTACCTTTCGGAAGGGTAGAACATTTATGGCATGAGGGAGATAAATCACATGACTAGAAATCAAAATCAACTGAAGGAAAGAGGTCCAGAGTACATGGAGGTTTTGTAAATTTAACCTTTTCATGAAACCTTAACCTCAAAATTCAACTGTTTTCAATTTCTTGGGAGTCCATATATGTACATCAAAACAGGAAAGCTGAGCAGTGTATTTTCTTGTTTGCAACTTTTGTGTTAAACCTGTCATGAATGGTGCTTGTTTATCTGAATGTCAGTATCTCTTTCATTTTAGGATTCAGGGTGGAGATCAGCCATTTGCCCAGATTATTGTCCTAACATGTATGAAGAAATGGAAACATTAACTAATGTGCTTCAGTCAGATATCGGTCAAGACATGCGTGTTCATAACAGCACGTTTCTGTGGTTCATCCCTTTTGTGCAGTCCCTCATGGATCTTAAGGATCTGGGTGTGGCTTATATAGTGGAGGTTATTCATCATCTGCATTCTGAAGTCAAAGACGTCCTCAACCAGACAGACGCCGTGTGTGACACAGTCACTGAGTTTTTCCTTCTCATTTTGGTGTCAGTGATTGAACTGCATAGAAATAAAAAGTGTTTGCATTTGCTGTGGGTTAGTTCCCAGCAGTGGGTGGAAGCCGTCGTAAAATGTGCCAAGCTTCCCACCACCGCGTTTGCACGGAGTTCTGAGAAGTCATCTGGAAACTGCTCCAAAGGCACAACAATGATATCATCTCTGTCATTGCATTCAGTGCCATCTAACTCTGTACAACTTGCTTGTGTGCAGCTGATCAGAAGTCTCCTTAAAGAAGGCTATCAGCTTGGGCAGCAGAGTCTTTGTAAGCGATTCTGGGATAAGCTCAACTTATTCCTGCGAGGAAATCTATCTTTAGGTTGGCAGTTGACTAGTCAGGAAACCCATGAGTTACAAACTTGTTTAAAGCAAATTATTAGAAACATAAAATTCAAAGTACCTCAATGTAGCACTTCTGTGGCTCTGACTTCTCCATGTAAAACGCCTCCTGCATTTTATAATAAAGAAGAAAGTGAACAAACAGGGAAGAAGTCTAAAAAAGACAGGCACTGTCTGGAAAACTCCAGCCCAACATTCTCTAAAGAACCGATGAAAGCTGATGCATGTGAAGTGCAAGAGAGTATTTTCAGCAAAGCAAATAATGCCATAGAAGAGGATAATGAGCAAACTTATATAAAAGATTTGAAACTCAGAGACCATCTCTCAGCTGAGTTGTGCTTGAAGCCGAGTAGTAAAAGGCTTGTTAATGAAAGAGCTCGAGGCCAAGTTAAAATAAGTACAGGGAAGCATAAGTCTGTAAAAGAGAATTCCTCATATACCCCTCAGAATTGTACTTCAAGAAATGGTCCAGAAAAGGTATTTGACAGAGGAATAATAACATCAACACGTTTGTTGACTGATTCTAGCAATGACTCTCTGGAAAAGGTGTCCACATCAAATGAGGATTTCTCTTTAAAGGGTGATGCTCTTGGCAAAACCTCAAAAGCAAAAACTAAGGCACATAAAGATGAAATCTGTGCTAAGTTATCACATGTAATAAAAAAGCAACGCAGGAAAAGTACCACTTTAGAGGAAAACCTGACTGTATCTAGCACTGAAAGTTTCCATTCAAAGAAAGATACAGGAGGTCAGAAAGGAGATGGCTTCATACACAATCTCTCTTTAGGCCCTAATGGTATTCTGGATGATAAACATGGAGAACAAAAATCTGAAAACAGTTTATTGCTGAAAAAGAAACAAGTAAACAAGGAACACGAGGTAGGCATTTTCTCTACCCCTGAACTCAGTTGTCAAATACTAGAATGTCATGTTGGTAATAAAGATTTGGTCTCATTTACAGAAATGACCAATATTTTTGTGGAGAAAGCACCTCCCTTTAAAGATCCTGTGACTGGACTTGAATCAAGAGATATGGAAATTATCAAGAGTACTGCTCAGTTTTCTTCTGATTTAAGAGAACAGGTCCTTAGCATCAGTCCTAAGTTTGACACCTTAACAGATTCTCAGATCGACAGAGACCTCCACAAATTATCTTTAGTAGCTCAAGCCAGTGTTATTAAGTTCCCATCAGATTCAACTCAAAAAAGTTTATCCCAGCTACAAAGAAAAGTTAAAGATGATAGAAGATGTTTCACAGCCAACCAGAATAGTGTTAGGGAAACCTGCTGTGGACAGGTCATTATTATTTCAGATTCTGATGAAGAAGATGATGATGATGATGAAAGAATTGTGGGTTTTAAGAAACACATTAAACAGGATAAAACATGCATTGAGAAAGAATGTCCAGAGCAGCATACTTCAATAGCTAACACAAATGTGGAACAGAAGGTAATAAAGGAAGAAAATACAAGGTCCCTTTTGCAGTTTGAGGAATCTGATTCTCAGTTTTTTGAGTTTGAAAGTCCATGTGAAGTGTTTTCAGTTTGGCAAGATCAGAAACCAGACAACAAGAATTCAGTTCAAGAGAATGAAGAAAATTCATGCTTGACTCATGTAGGTGATATCACAAATGATTGGGGTCATGGTACAGATTATGTATCTGAGGAGGTCATTAAAAAAGCAGCAGAGGGCATTGAGGAACACGCAGAACCACGCAGTAGTAGTATTTCTGTTGAGAAATTTTGTGAGATTGAAGTAAAAAAACCCAAGAGAAAACGATATGAGAAAGCTGCTATGGCTGAAGATCCTCTGAGGCCTTCATCTCCTGTCAAAAGTGAGGACCAGTCTGATATTCTTAATGAGAGAGATGTGACTGAAAATGATTTTAAAAGTATAGACATAAGGACTACAACTCCCAGTTCAAGCGTTCAGAGAACCACTACGGTTTCCCTGAAGAAATCTCCACCAAAGCTTCGCACTTATTCCAAACGTGTTAGGAGAGTCTCACTTTCTAAAACTCCTAAAAAAACACATTCGGATACCAAAACAGGGCAGAGTAAAAGTTCAAATTACATAAGTTGTAGAACAACTCCTGCTATAGTGCCACCAAAGAAATTTCGCCAGTGTCCTGAACCAACTTCAACGGTTGAGAAACTTGGTCTGAAAAAGGCTCCTCGTAGGGCATTTGAGTTGTCCCAGCGATCTTTGGAGTGTTTAGCTCAGTTACGTGACCATGGCAAAACTGTTGGAGCAGTTGATACCCGGAAAAAGACTAAATTAATTTCTCCTCAGACTCTCTCTGTCAGAAATAATAAGAAACTGCTGACAAGTCAAGACCTTCAGATGCGAAGGCAGATGAGACCCAAAGCACAGCATAACAGACAAAGATGTTTTGATTATCAAAGTACAGATACAACACGAGCAGGCCCACATGGAGCACAGAATTCTGACAAATTTGTGCCAGAATCAGATACATCAGATTATAGTTATAAAGGAGGAGTTGAGGTAACTGCTAAAAGTAAGGAAAAACAGTTAATAAAATGTGTGTCTTCTGAAACAGAACCCATGAAAGCAAAATATGCTGCTCAGGTAGCTGATGACACCTGTCTTTTGAACCAGTGTACTTCTGTAGTATTAAATGGAGAAATACCAACAAATGAAATAGTTGTTTCTACATCAGGGGACCCTTTAGGTGGAGGTGACCTAACAGTACATCATTTAGATGTGGCAGCTTTGAAAGAGGGAGAGCCTGAATCCTGCAATGACGTAGAGGAAGATAATATATTTTTAACACAACGTGATCCTGAAGATATGGATTTATGTTCACAAATGGAGAAAGAGAATGATAAACTCATTGAAGTCGTTCATGGAAAAGGTACAGTCCAGGCAGAAGAAGATTCTGTGAGTCGGCCTCAGTTGGAATCTTTGAGTAGCACAAAATGTAAGTACAAAGATTGTGTTGAAACACTGAAAAACCAGGGTGAATACTGTTCAAAACACTCTGAAGCTAAAGCAGCAGATGAAGATATATTTCGTAAACCTGGCTTGCCTCCCTCTGCATCTAAACCTTCGAGACCTCCCACTGCTAAGATTTTCAGCTCCAGTAGCACTTCACGAATTGCTGGCCTTTCCAAGTCTTTGGAAAATACGGCAGCGCTCGTACCAACTCTGAAAAATAAGTCAAGTGGGGTACAGTCTGTTCCGAAAGTACCACAGCCAGTCTCTCCAGTGTCCAAGAAGCCGGTGGCTGAAGTGAAGGGTTTGTGCAACGTTCTGCATTCTCATACTCCAAATAATTCCAACAGGCAAGGCTACAAAGTTCCATTTTGTGAAAACAGATCTTTTTCGGCTTCCCCTCCAGTAAATGTTCTCTTGTCAGCACAGTCCATCTCTGATACCTTCGTTAAAGAGGTCTTAAAATGGAAATACGAGATGTTTGTGAACTTTGATCAGTGTGGACCCCCGTCAACTCTTTGTCAGTCCATCGCAAGACCTGTGCCTGTGAGATTTCAAGATGGTGGAGATTATTTTGATGTGTTTTTCCCTTTGATGATACTGAATACTTTTGAAACAGTAAGTATGTGTTCTAATTGTATATGTTCAGACTTTGAAATTACCTTTCTTTACCATGCTGAGTACAGCTAAAATAACAGCACATTTTGATTTAGATGTAGCTTGTAGATTTCATGTTGAACAGACATTGTGCCTGACACTGTTCTAGATGCTGGTGATACAGAGGAAACACTTAAACTCTGCCCTTCTGGAGCTTACAGACACAATTCAGAGTGCTAATGTACCAAGTCCAGAGGTGGCACAGGAGGAGGAAACGTTTTTCAGTGTAAAATAAGGGAAGACTTCTCAGAGGACATAGTCTCTCACCTGCGTTTATTTTTTTGAAAAGTAGTGTAAACCTTTACTGAAGAGTTCCTGAGGAGGCAGCACAGGGCAAGTTACACTGATCAGCACAAAGCAATAAATCCCAAATTTCTCATCAGCACAAAGCAATAAATCCCAAATTTCTCATCTGTCTTCCCAACTTCTTAGGCCTCATAGCAGCCTTTAGCTGTCTCCCTACCCCAACACATCCCATTCTGGTTCTTCTCTCTTTCTTACTCCCCTACTGGGATTGCCAAGTAAAATATAGGAGTCCCAGTTAAATTTGAACCTCAGAAAAACAGCTAGTAATTCTTTAGTGTAAACATCCACCTGCACTTTGAAGGATGTTTTTGGTGTTCTCAAAGCAGGTAGATTTTTACTTTTTTCAAATTCCTTTAAAAAAAAAAAAAACCCAAAACGTGAGCGTGCAATAAGGCTCTTCAACACCAAGAACACTGAGGTAAATACCCACGTATTCAGTCAACAGATACTTGGGTGCCTGATACTTGCCAAGTACTATCACAGACCTGGGGGGTAAAGTGGTGAACATGACAGACAAGGCCTCTGCCTTCTGGGAGTGATCATTTCAGATCAGGACCAAAGGCGTTAGAGTGCTCTAGAATGATCTAGAACAAAAGGGAGCAGGCACTTTAGACTGAAAGGTGAGACAGCCTCTGTGAGCGATGGTATTCACACCGAGACCAGAGTGAGTAGAAGAAGTTGGCCATAGGAAGTATATCCCAGGCAGAGAGACTGCAAAGATCCAGCTTAGAATTGTTAAAGGCAAAGGAGATGTACTGCACCAAGAGGCAAGTTGGTGTCAATTTATGCCCTAAATTTCAGCTGTTGTCTTAAGAATTATTTTACTAGTGTTTCAAAAGCATTAGAAACAACTAATTGATAAAGGGTCTTCAGTCTGTCTCCTTAACAACAATGTGAAATGGTATTACAAAAATGATTTTCTTACCTTACAAAATTGTTAGTTCAGTGAACAGTGTATACAGTTAAATAAGCTGGGGAATATACAGAGATTTTCTTCATTTTGAAGCTTATTTTTTTCTTGAACGTTTATCCTTCCCAGAAAACACTAAATCGCTTAGAAGCCATTCGTAGCCCTTAAATTTAGGACACATATTTGTGATTTTATTTTTCCCTTAGTTAAGAAGTATTTATATGTTTATCTTTAAGATTTCTTCCTTCAGGACATTTCTGTAGCCAAAACCTTTTCAAAACAGAATGAGCACAATTTCCGTTTGTATATATACAAAGTTCAAAATAGTCAAATACTTGTGGAAGGCCCATTATAAAAAAAAAAAAACAGCAACCACTCTCACCTCCCCAAGTAATTATTTTTGATCCTTGATGGATCCTTTTGTTATTTACTTCCATATTTCTAAATAACATGCCACTATTTTGACTTGTTAATTTTTCAGTTCTAGACATTTTCTGTAGTTACCCACTACAGGAAGTACCCTCTCTTCCCAGCCCTGTGTTCACACACACCTCTCCTGTTTCCCCATCCTCACTATGGAGTAGTCTTGTAATTTTTAGATCAGTATTTGTTACTATTTTGACGATATAAAAGGTGTCCACGGCTAAGTCATGTGGTAGCTGTAACTACTTGTTTCCGACTCTTTGCTTTCTCTGGATTTATTGTTTACTTAATTTTCTGTGTACGTGTTACTAAATTAGTTTCAGATTGTCTCTTGGACTTGTAGGTCTCTCAGTATGATCAGGCACATCAGATAGTTGATCAGTTTCATCTTCTTGGTTTAGGATGGTTAACCTGAAATGCTCACCGTCTTCATCCTAGGGCTTGCATTTCCTTCTTTCCCGTGTTGGATCTCTGTCTCCTGTACCCAGGGTTGTCTGTTTTTGTCACCCCCTCATTTTAGTAAGGCACATCCTTCAAACTTCCTGAGAAAAGAATGTGTAGGAGATAAATTTTGAAACTTTGCATGTCTTAAAATTTCTTTCTGTTTTGCCATCTCTGTCTGTCTTTGTTGTTGTCGTTCTACTTCCTTGGAGACTTTCTCAGCGTCCAAGTCTATTGAAAAATTTTTGAGTGTATTTTTAGTTTCACGGAACTCTTGTACTCTCATTATTCCTTTTTATAGGATTCTGTGCTTTCTTCATGTACACAGTATTTTTTTATTACCTGAAGTTAATTAATGATAAGTTTAAAGTTAGTTAAAAGTTTTCCTCTCTTTGCATCGTCCCTGTTTTCCCAGTTGCTTTTTTCCTATTCATTTTAGTGTCGACAGACCTTTCGTGTTAACTCCTTTCTTCACGTGTCTAATGATTTTTGGTGGTTTACTCACATTTAAGAACAGGATACTAAAAAGCAGATTGGAGCATTGTTCATAATAGCCAGAAGTTGAAAACAACTGAGATGTCCATCAGGAGATGAATGGATAAACGAAACATGGTATATGCATACAATGGAACATTAGTCTACTCTTAAAAGGAATGACCCGTTATATGCACTTTTACCTGTTCTTTGATGAACCTTGAAAATATTATGCTGAGAAGTCAGGTACAGAAGGCCACATATTGTGTAATTCCATTTATATGAATTTTCCAGAATAGGCAAATCCGTAGAGACAGAAAGTGGATTAGGAGTTGCCAGGGGATGGGTCGGGGGGCGGGAATTAGGACTGACTGCTAATAGGTATAAGGCTTGTTTTGGGATGGTGGGAATGTTCTGGAATTAGATAATGGTGATGGTTGCACAAAATAGTGAATGTACTGAAAACACACTGTAGTGTGCACACTTTAAAGTGGTGAATTTTATATTGTGAAATATATCAACTTTTTAATGCTATAAGAAAAGAGGATGCATTTAAATAATGACAGGTCAAAAGAGATGCTTAGGAAAAGAGATACTTTTACTAAAATGGTCCTTTATTATTTGCACTGTGGAAGTCAAATGTGATCTGAAGGACACCATCACATGGTGAAATCCAAGTTAGTTTCATTCTTTGTATTAAGATTATATGCTTAGGTATAGTTATAATCTATATTTTGTTACATGTAAGATTTTAAAACAGATTAGAAGCTCTGAGTGAAAGGGATAGGCTTGTTGACCATTGGCATTTTATTGGGAAGCCTCATCCCCAGCCTCATGTCACTGTTTTTAGTCTTTTTTTTCTTTCCCCCTCTTAGTGAGGTCAGATTTCTCCAAGAAGAATCTTCAGATCGATTGCCTGGAAAGCATAGGCCTGATGGGGAGCTGACTGTGGGGTGAGGGTGGGGGCAGAGGGAAGGGTCCAGGTATTCAGTATATAAACATTTGCTTAATTACCTTTTTTAAAATTATTTTATTTTTAAAATTTATTTATTTATTTATTTTTGGCTGCATTGGGTCTTTGTTGCTGCACGTGGGCTTTTCTCTAGTTGTGGCGAGGGCTTCAGCAGCTGTGGCTCGCGGACTCTAGAGCGCAGGCTCAGTAGTTGTGGTGCATGGGCTTAGTTGCTCCGCGGCATGTGGGATCTTCTCGGACCAGGGATCGAACCCATGTCCCCTGCATTGGCAGGCGGATTCCTAACCACTGTGCCACCAGGGACGTCCCCCCCCACCTTTTTTTTTTTAAGTACCTTATCCCCTCTCTGTCTGCTGCCCCACAGCCAGAGACTGTCACACTTTATAGAGGTGAAACCGCTATAGCTTTTTGCTAGGAGCAGGGAGGGGCAGTCTCCCTTCAGTCCTCCTCCTTCTAGAGATGTATGTCAGATGCTTCCTGCTTAGAGTTCAGCTTCTTGGATTTGCTGAGTTAGTTAACCATTCATCCATCTGCTTACCAGCTTCCCAGATTTTGATACTTTTGCCTCCTCTTCTGTTCTCTTCATCCTAATGAATTAATCCTGTTGTGAAAAATCCCTTGGGTGTTTTAGTGGGGTTTCAGGGGGAATGAAAGGAAATGCCTGTGTTCAGTCTGTCTGTCATCTTTACCACGAAGTTTTATCTTGTTCTTCTTTTTTTTAACCATGTAGTGAAACAGCATTGTTTTAGCATTTCTAGTTTATATAGGCCAACATTTATTAATGGTATTATTAATATACCTTGATTACTTTTTGTTTTTCCCCCACTGTAACGTGTGGCTTGTGGGATCTTAGTTCCCTGACCAGGGAGTGAACCTGGGCCCTCAGCAGTGGAAGCGCTAACAACTGAACTGCCAGAGAATCCTCAGATACCTTGATTACTTTTAATTTTTTATTCTTTCTGATAAGCCACAGACTGTGGCATCAACCACAGTCTTGGGCCAAGGCTTCTTACCCTCATTTGGATGTAATTTGACTTCATAATATTGTTTGTTAATGGAATGCTGAAGTGTGTTTAGAGTCCTTTGACAAAAATGTGTTTGGTATCCTATTTAGGACATGAAATGCAGTGTTTGGTTATCCAGTTATATGTCTTATTGCAGGTGGAATGCAATGACATTGCGTAGAATTATCCCTTGCCCCAAAGGGAAACGAGCAAATTCAACTTTTAGAAATATGAGTCTCTTGAATTAAAAAAAAAAAAAAAAAATCCCGCAAGGACTCAGAGCAAAAAATATACAAATCAATTTTCACAGCAAAGTAAAGGAGCTGTTACAGTGGAGGATTCCTGGACTGAATGTCAATATTATGACATAGTGTGAGTGTGTTTTGTGTTTGGTAATTGCAGTCATTGTTGCTTTTTGTTGTGGTCATCCATTTACAATGCTTGGCGTCAGTTTATTCATCTCTTGTAAAAATAAAATACAGTCTGTGTGGAGGAAAAAAAAAAAGAAATATGAGTGTTTTGTGTACTGATGTGACTGATAGAGGATATATTAGTTTTTAATCTTTATGTTTAACACCCAAAAGTATTAGATAAATGTGCACTGTTTTGACAGGGACCAATTTTTTTGGTCAGTTTTGGCAAATATTCTTTTTTCTTAAAGTTTCGGTTTGCAGTCCCCTTCTGTTACCTGTGTGTGCATGCGTGTATATGCAGAGTGTAATTGGCAGGCACTTTTTAGGTTGTGTAGACAAGGAGCAGGCAGAAAGGGGACTCTTCTGGAGTACCAGCTGTGATTCTTAGTGCCCAAACCCCTTATAGGGAGATTGCACCGTTTTTTAGCTAGTTTCCAGTTATAATTTGTTCTGTGAAGGAAACAAAACAGGTTGATGTGATGAGCGACATTGGGAGGCTGCTTTTGAGATTGGGCTGAGAGCCAGGAGAGGAGGGTTTTGCGCAGAGGAGGGGGGAGGGTCAAGACTATAATGCTTGAGGTAGGCCTAACTGAGCATGTGTGAGCAAAGAGATTAGGCTGATGTGGCTGGAGTGAGGTAACTTAGAGGTAAAGGGAAATGAAGTAAGATTGGAGAAATCAGTCAAGAGCTGGATGGTATACAACCCTGTAAGTGCAGGTTGGGGTTTCATTCTCAGTACAGTGAGAAGATGTTGGAGGATTTTTAGTTGGTTGGTGTTTAGGCTGGGGGAGTAGAAATATGTAGTAGTTTACTTCTAAAAAAAAAAAAACATTCTTAGTTGCTCATTAGAGAGTAACTGTAGAAAGGTAAGCATAGATGCAGTAGACCTGTCGGGGGCTATTACAGTAGCCCAGGAGAAAGATGATGGTAGCTTGATCTAGGTGGTAGCTTTGGAAATAAAGAGAAGTGAATTCATTGGGCGTACATTTTGGAGATAGTACTCAGTACCTATCTTCTTATATATATATATAAATTTATGTTATTTATTTTTGGTTGGGTTGGGTCTTGGTTGATGAACACAGGCTTTCTCTAGCTGCAGGGAGCTAGAGAAACTGCATAGCATCCCCCATTATCAACATCCCCTACCATTGTAGTACATTTGTACAACTGATGAACCTACATTGACAAGTCATTACCACCCAGAGTCCGTAGTTTTCATTAGGGTTCACTCTTGATTTGTACATTCTAAGGGTTTGGACAAACGTATAATGACATGTATCAGTCCTTTAATATCAGAGTACTTTCACTGCCCTAAAAATCCTCTGTGCTCTGCCTGTTCACCCCTCCCCAGTCTCACCCCTGGCAGTCACTCATCCTTTTACTGTCTCCATAGTTTGCCTTTTCCAGCATGTCACATAGTTGGAATCACACAGTATGTAGCCTTTCCAGATTGGCTTCTTTCACTTAGTAATGTGCATTTCAGGTTCTTCCATGTCTTTTCATGGCTTGATAGCTCATTTCTTTTTAGCACTAAATAATATTCCATTGTCTGTTTGTACCATAGTTTGTATATCCATTCACCCACTGAAGGGCATCTTGGTTGCTTCCAAGTTTAGGCAGTTATGAATAAAGGTGCTATAAACATCCATGTGCAGGTTTTTAACGTAAATATAAGTTTTCAGTTCATTTGGATAAATATTGAGGGCACTATTGCTGGATCCTACAGTAAGAATATGTTTAGTTTCATAAGAAACCACCGAACAATCTTCCAAAGTGGTGCTACCATTTTGGGAATTCTCTGGCAGTCCATTGGTTAGGACTATGCACTTCCACTGCAGGGGGCACAGGTTCGATCCCTGGTCAGGGGACTAAGATCCCACAAGCCACGTGGCTCAGCAAAAAAAAAAAAAAAAAAAAAAGTGATGGTGCCATTTTACATTCCCACCAGCAATAAATGAGAATTCCTACTGCTCCACATCCCCGTCAGCATTTGGTGCTGTCAGTGCTCCAGATCTTGGCCATTCCAATAGGTGTGTAATAGTGTCTCGTTGTTTTCATTTGCATTCCTTTGATGACATAAGATACGGAGCATTTTTTCATATACTAATTTACAGTCTGTATATCTGCTTTGGTGAGATGTCTCTCCAGGCCTTTTGCACATCTTTTTCATCAGGTTGTCTGTTTTCTTACTGTTGAGTTTTTTTTTTTCTTTTTTAATAAATTTATTTTATTTATTTTTGGCTGCATTGGGTCTTCGTTGCTGTGCGCAGGCTTCCTTTAGTTGCAGCGAGCAGGGGCTACTCTTCATTGCGGTGCGCAAGCTTCTCATTTCGGTGGCTTCTCTTGTTATGGAGCATGGCCTCTAGGCACGCGGGCTTCAGTAGTTGTGGCACGCGGGCTCAGTAGTTGTGGCTCACAGGCTCAGTTGCTCCGTGGCATGTGAGATCTTCCTGGACCAGGGATCGAACCTGTGTCCCCTGCGTTGGCAGGCGGATTCTTAACCACTGCACCACAGGGAAGCCCTTCTTCACTTTTAAAGGATAATTTTGCAGGATTCAGAATTCTAGGTTGGTAGGTTTTATTCTCTCAACAGTCTAAATATTTCACTACTCTCTCCTTGCTTGCATGGTTTCTGAGGAGAAGTTAGATGTAATTCTTATTTTTCCTTCTCTATAGATAAGGTATTTTTTCCCACAGGCTTCTTTCATGATTTTTTTCTTTATCTTTGATATTTCATATTCCTGAAGTTTGAATATGATATGCCTAGGTGTAGTTTCTGGCACTTATTCTGCTTGGTCTTGGAGCTTCCTGGATCTGTGGTTTGGTGTCTGATGTTAATTTTGGAAAACTCTGAGTCATTATTGCCTCTCTCTTCTTCTCATATCCCCATTATGTGTATGCTGCATCTTTTGTCATTGTCTCACAGTCTTGTATATTCTGGGGTGTGTTTTTTTTCCCCATTTTTTTTTTCTCCTTGCTTTTCAGCTTTGGTAGCTTCTATTGTTATAGCCTCAAGCTCAGAGATTGTTTCCTCAGCAATGTCCAGTGTACTAATGAGCCCATCAGAGGCATCCTTCATTTCTGTTACAGTGTTTTGTTTTGTTGGGGTTTTTTGCGGTACATGGGCCTCCCACTGCTGCGGCCTCTCCCGTTGCGGAGCACAGGCTCCGGATGCGCAGGCCCAGCAGCCATGGCCTACGGGCCCAGCTGCCCTGCGGCACATGGGATCCTCCCGGACCGGGGCGCAAACCCGCGTCCCCTGCATCGGCAGGCAGACCCTCACCCACTGCGCCACCAGGGAAGCCCTGTTACAGTGTTTTTGATCTCTGGCATTACCTTTTGATTCTTTCTACTTTACATCTCATTCATTACATTACCCATCTTTTATTTCATGGTCTCCTTTTTGCGTTAAACTCTTAGTATATTAACTATAGTTTTAAAAAAAAGTAATTCCTGGTCTGATAATTCCAGCATCCGTATCTGAGTCTAGTTGCTTTGTTTCTTCAGATTGATATCTGACAGGTTTTAGTGCTTCTTTAGTCTGTTCAAACTGTGTTTTTTGCCTTTGAGTATGCCTTGTAATTTTTTGTTGCAAGGTGGTCATAATCTACTAAATAAAAGGAACAGCAGTAAATAGGCCTTTAGTGATACAGAAATGAGGTATGGGGGAAGGAAGATCATTCCATAGTCCTATGATAAGGTGTCACTCTTTTAGTGAGCCTTTGCCTCTGGACTAAGAACTTTACACCACATGTTTCTTAGTTTCCCCCACCTCCTTGGGTGAGACAGGATGGTTAGAATGGGCTGGAGCTGGTTTTCTTCCCTCAAGTAGGTTAGGCTCTGATAAAATCCCAGCAAGTTTGACTCTGGTAAAATAGCTTCTCATAGATCAGGCCTTGTTAAGAAGGTCAAGAATGCTCTGGTGTATTTCAGAATGGTTCCTTTTCCCCAGTCCCCACCAACCCCCCACCCCCGCTGGAAGCACACAGGGAATTTTCTCCAGTGTTCACTGTGAGGGCCTGTTAGAGCTCCTAGAGGTAAAACTCACCAAAGTGTGGGGTCCCTCTTATGACTGGGTCCCCCTAGAGTTTTTAAGAGAGTTGTTCATGCTGAGACTCCAACAGTTTGTCACATCCAGTTCAGGTTTTCCTCCTGGCATGGAGGTTTCTACTTAAGAGTTTCCTGCTCTGGTAAGTTGTGATTGTCTGTATCCACCTTTTTGTCTCTTTTTACTTGTTAGGATGGAGTGGCGACTTCTAAGTTCCTTAAATGCCAAGCTGGAAACCAGAAGTCCCAAATTAATTTTTAATGTTTGTGTCACACAGGAGTTCTAGGTTCTGGATTTTATGGTTGCTTACTTTGGAAAATTTTGCTGTTTAACATTGGCTTTTCAGATGTTTTCGCTTTCTTAATTTGCTTTTTTTGCTTTGCGTAGGTGGCACAGGAATGGACCAGCTCTCCAAACAAAGAGAAATTCCATCAGTTGCATTTACGAAAATTTCCTTCTGAGTATAAAAAATACTGGGAGTTTGTGGGTAAGTTCTTTCTTATGTAACTTGGTCTATATCATATAATAATTGGAGATTGCTATTTGAGGGAACATAATAATTGTTTGAATTTTCTGGGATATAAGTTTCCTAAGGTGAATTTGTAACCTCTTACTAAGAATATGTTTAAAGTCTTTAATTAATGAGGATAATTACTGGGACAGTTAATAAAATTCATGATTTTAACCATTGTGCAATCAGAATACCACAGGCCAAAGTGTCCCTAGATGCTGGGCAAGGGAGAGAGAAGGTGAGTGAGGGAGTTTGACTGGCGGGGGGAGAGGGGGGGTTGACATGATCGTGCGTACAGATTCTGAGTTAATCTCTCTGCCGTCACTGCTCTCATTTCATGATAGAGGGGGTGTTGACATGATCGTGCGTACAGATTCTGAGTTAATCTCTCTGCCGTCACTGCTCTCATTTCATGAGTGGTCTGGAGCACGTGTCACAGTTATGTCTTAGTTATAAATAAACCAAGCATTTAGAACCCTTAAAAATAAAAAGTATAAATTCTCCGTCTGCCTCCTTCCCCCTTGCAATCCATCCTACTCCATAGATTCACTTAAGGAAAAAAGCATGTACATATATTTGGGGGGAAAGGTATTATATGTTCACTGTAGAATATTCAGATAATATTAGCCAATAGTAAAATAAACATCACTCACAGTTCCCATCATTCAGAGATAATCCTATGAACATAGTAGTGTATATCTTACTGCTAGACTTCCTACTCATCTGAGTGAAGTGGGGGTGGGAGGGGGTGGGGGGGTTG